TAGAACAGATTCTTGCTCATGTGATGGCATGCCACTGGTAAACAACTACTGCAGACATTGTGAAAGCTGAGTTTATCACTGCTATTGTTCAAGCATAATCAAGTCTGCAGGGCATTGTACTGAGCAAGGAGCCTCAAAATTTCAGACCTTTGTTTTTGTGCGAGTTTGATTCAAAATGACTTGCAGGAAGAAAAAAAAAGAACAAAGGAAGATCCAGAGCGCTCAGTCGTGTCTCTAAGTTTTCCTCTTTAAAGCATCTTATCTCAGCAGACATTCTTAGCCAAGCTTTTAGATGAGTTTGAAAAGGCTGCTTCACAAGAAAGAGGTATCAACAAACATTATCTCTCTGAAGCTACAGGGTGCTATTACCTAGCACATAAGAGGCAAACTCTCTCCTTAGCTAATGGACGACAACATTTTATCCAGTTGTCTCAAACGTCCATCAATCACTTCTGCAGTCTGGAAATAAATATTGCATATTTTATGTGGTCCATACAGATGGAAATACAGATGCCCTGTAAACAGAGGGATACACAGGGATATTACATTTTTTTAATGGCTGGAAACAGCACTGATGAGGACTGTGAGACAAAGAAATAAACTTGTGGCCAATAACCCTAAAACAATGAGGCGAGAGACATTAAAATGCGTTGCAGTGCAGAACCGCAGTTTGGATAATCATTCTCTGTGGGTTTGTCACAACCAGAGACCCTTTCAAGTGTGCTTTAAGAACGGAAGCATTTGCGTCATTGTTTATTTAATGCCCTAATTGTTAATTTAACAATTGTTAAATTAATTGTTAATTTAACAATAAAAATGTAAAACAATACCTAATTTGACAATTTCTGTTTGCACAATGGAGCCCACCAAAGTCCAGGTGTTTCACATTAAACCTCCTCATTGACATTCGGTCTGAATTCTAAGATGCGTAAACATGTAAATGTTGAATAAGCATGCTCCTGGTTATGGCTGTTTGGACCCTGCACAACCTTCTGTGCTTTGGTTTCTGGGTCATATTCAGAGCCCCTCACTCATGCAGAAATCCGGTCAGTTTGTCAGATATTTTCCCAGCACACTTTGAGCCCCTTCGTACCAACTGAGCATGACTTCAGTGCCACAGCATGCCTGTTCATTCAGCTAACCATGTAAATTCCTTCATGACTACAGTGTACCATGTCACAAAGCTCAAATAGCCAGTTTCACCA